ATGACCGAGAACCCCTATCCTTCTCTGAAACTCTGCGAAAAAACCCACCAAGAGCTTCTTCCTATTTCCAAGCAAACAATCAAAAGATAAAACTTGTCCAACCTCTTCTTCATTTCGTCATCCGTGACGCGTCCATGTGGAGATAACCAACGATGGTAGGGAGTAGGAGAGACGAGGGAGAACGTGAGAAAGAAAAACACTACGTTCTTGGAGTTGTAGCGGCGGTTTTGTAGGGGGAAGATAAAAATAGTGAAAGAAAAAATAAAAAATGAAAAGAGAGAAAGAGGAGAATCATCTTGCTCAAATAAAAAAAAGGGTAAATTAAGATTTTTAAAAAATATAATGATCACATAGTTAAGAAGATGAGAAGTTTAGAGTTTGGACTTTAGAGGGTTAGTGTAAAAGGTGGACTGAAGAGTCATGGAATTTAGAATGTAAGTTCATACATAAGATAAGACAGCTAAGGTGTGCCGGCTATGTTGGGATCTTCTGTAGTTTTGTCCCTGATTCTGTAATGATACACTGCGCCTTAATAATTATAAAAGGTTTTTCGGTTGGCGGTAGAAGATGAGGAGTTTTGAGTTTGGAGGGTTCGTGTAAAAGGCGGTCTGAAGAGCCATGGAATTTAAAATGTAAGTTCATAAATAAGAGACAGCTAAGGTGGGCCGTCTGATCTTGTGTAGTTTGCCCCTGATTCTGTAATGATTACACTGCGCCTTAATTTATTGTATCCAACAGACCAACCAAATGGTATTAAACCGTTTGATAATAGCTGAAGAGAGTTGGAATTGAGTGAAAAACTTTGGCTGTTAGTAAATACCTCATAATTACTGTAGGTAAAATAGTATTTATACTTGGCTGAAAAGGCAAACGAGCTGCTGAGTTAGCGCGTATATCTCAGCGTTGTTTTAGATTCTCGTTGTTGTTTTAGAGAATGGCGATATATCTCAGCGTTACGTCGGAAAAAATGGTTGTTTGGAACCGTTTTTCTATAAAAAACCGTGCTTTAAATCATGTCTTAGAAATTGGGAAGGTATGGTTTGGATTAATGTCAAATTTGGTGTTTTATGTAGCTACGGCTCATTGTTACCAACAGGGGCATGAGGTGGCAATGACAGGGATATGATATGGCATTGGATAATAGGTACCAGTGTTGTAAACGTTTCCTAGAGCATTGGTACCAAACAGAAAAATGTTGTTGTTGCTCTAGGAAACATCCTACCTGGCAGCAATGTTTTCAAAAAAAAAAAAAAAAAACATTGTTTTCTCAAGTAGGACGTTTCATGGGGCAACAACAACACATTTTGTTTGGTACCAATGCTCCACATCTATTTTCAACACTAGTACCTATTATAGGAAGTTCATGTTATTGCCACATCATACCCTTGTAGGCAGCAACGAGCTACAAATTGAGAAAATATCAAATTTATCATTTCCCCAGACCATGCCTTATCGATTTCCAAGATGTGGTTTGAAGCACCATTTTTTATGGATAGATGGTTCTGAACATGGTATCACTTTCTGGAGCACCAATTTTTTCAATGTGGCGCTGATGTGTCACCGTTTTCTAGAGCAACGACATCGATTCCAAACATTGCCTAAGATGCCGTTTGGTATCTATGCGTTTTAGGGCTGATTCGTTTCTATTGAGGTGGCAGACATGACACATTAGCAACTAAATGGACTTGGCCATAAAATGCATTTTTTTTAGGAAACGGCCTAAAAACAATTTTGTTTGTTTGGCATCAATGTCGTTGCTTCATAAAACGATGACACATCAACACCACGTTGGAAAAACAGTGCTCCAAGAAATGCCTGTTTATTTGGAACCATTTTTCCATAAAAAACAGTTCTCTAAGCCATGCCTTGGAAATTGGGAAGGCATGGCTTGGAGCAACACCGAATTGGGCATTTCCCTAGAGCTATAGCTCGTTGTTGCCAACAAGGACATGAGGTGACAATGATAAGGACATGACGTGGCACTAGATAATAGGTACTAGTGCTGAAAATGTTTCTTGGAGCATTGGTACCAAACATAAAATGTTATTGTTGCTCTAGGAAACGTCCTACCTAGCATCAATGTTTCCAAACAAAAAAAAAAAAGACACCATTTTCCTAGGTAGGACGTTTCATGGGGCAACAACACCACCTTCTGTTTGGTACTAATGCTTTATATCTATTTTTAGCACTGGTACCCATTATGGGATGTCCACATCACTGCCACATCATGTCCTCGTTTGCAGCAACGAGCTCCAAATTGAGAAAACGTCGAATTCAGCGTTTCTCCAAACCATGCCTTCTCGATTTCTAAGGCATGGTTTGGAGCACTGTTTTTATGGAAAAATGGTTCCAAACATATTACAGTTTTTTGGAGAACTGATTTTTTCAATGTGACATTGATGTGTCACCGTTTTCTGGAGCAACGACATCGATGCCAAACACGCCTAAGATGACATTTGGTATCGATGTGTTTTAGGGCTGATTCATTTCTGCTGAGGTGGCAAGCATGACACATTAGCAACTAAATGGAATTAGCCAAAAAATACGTTTTTTTAGGAAACAGTCTAAAAAACAATTTTGCCTCGGTATTCATGGCGATTCAAGAACGTTTTCCTACATGGATCTTGTTGGCATATGAGTTGGCAATTAGCCACATCAGAATAAAGGTGTTACAGTGTATCACATCTCACTATAAATACATTAACCCTCATAAAACCCATCAAGAGGGTTTTTCTCCCTCTTCCTCCTCATTACTCTTATTGCCGTTGTGAAGCTCACCAACCATCTCCAAGAAGGTAATCCATGGAGATTATTTTGCCGATTCACAGTCACTGGACTTGGTTTCCAGTTTGAATAAACTTTAACACCACTGTTGTCAGACTTGTTTCCTATTGTTTCTACCACCAAGAGAAGGTCTCCTCCGAACAAGGTAACCACCAACCCTTTATTGTTTGTTATATTTTATTTTATTTTTACATTTACAGAGGATACAAATCATCTCTGAAACGTAGGCTCGAGGCTCTATTATAAACACCAAGAATCCAATTTTAAGCTTAGATTTCTTATGCTTGGTGGGTGTTAAAAGAAATTCTTAAATTTCTTATGATTGGTGGTTGCATGTTCTCAATCTAGGTTGAGGAGGTGCATCACGCAAAGAAAAAAAAAATCAGATATTAAAGAGGGTGGCTCATGAAGAAGTTTGTGGAAATTGATAGAAAAATATTTGTGGAGCTTTTAAGTAAGGGAATGGACTATCACTTCTGAAATTTTAAATGAGTGGACTAATAGTTTTGAAAATTTGCTAGGGGTAGGACGTCCTATAGTTGGGTGGAGGGAGGTAGAACTGATGAAGATCATTTTGGGGTTTGCCCAAATATTATTGTTATTTGGCATATGAATTCATGTGTTATTGCATTGGTTTTCTTGGGCTGCAAAGCCTGATATCTAACTGGCCCACTAGATAGAGAGTTTATTTGAGTAATCTTAAGCTAAATTATTAAAATAAAATTCATTATTTAATCTATTTTGATGGTGTAATAATATATTATGATTTAATAAATATTACTTTTTAAGATGCGTATTAATTTCTCAATAGATTTTCTCTACATATGTTTAAATCTTAGTTTTCTCTAAAAATACAAGTTTTTAATATTATGCTTAATTGTATAATAGCATTTTAATAATTATTTCAATGACTAATAGCTGTTTAATAATCATTTATATGTGTAATAACTTTTTAATAATATATGTAATTTATTTAGCTGAATATTAAATGAATTTCAATATATTTATGTCGTACTAAAATCTGTAACTATTAGAATGGAACATGTTTGTGCATCCCGTGCTCATGTGTAGCATGAGATAGTGTCAACCACAAAAAAAAAAAAAAAAAACACTAAGGTTATGTTTGGTTTGAAGGAAAAAGTAGGGAAATGCAAGAAAATTTATATAAGATTTGTAAAGGTTTCTCTTCATTTCCCTTCTTTTCCCTACTTTTTTCCATTCAAACCAAACATAGCTTAAAGAGAAACAATTTGCACTCACGGCCAATTCCGGTTGAAACTTTTTTTCAGTACTGATGTGGCATGAAACACCCAACAGATTGTGGGTTGAAACAGCCCAAAATGGTTTTTGACCGTTAGGCAATTCTTTAAAAAACGAATCGATCCTAAAACACATCAATGCCAAACAAGCACACTAAAAGGTATCATATGTTGAGATTCCCAAAACAGCCTCACATAACATGTTAGCTAATTCAGGTCCTCGTTTATCTTTTCTACCCACACTCATTATGAGTCATTTCACAGCATTTTCCAAAACATCCTAAGCTTTTTTTTTTTATTAGAAAGCTAACTCAGATAAAACAGAAAAGAACTAAATAAAGCAGTTAAGAGCTAGCCAGATCTAAATATACCTTCGCATATTTCTTTTGTTATTTAATTATTTATTTATTAAAAAGATTAAGCATTAAGTAATTCAGTTCAGCTATTTCAGTTGTTATTGAACGACTTCGTCATTCGGTGATTGTCCATTAGTAAGTAGATGGAAGGTTGAAGCCTCCACCTGGGAACTCAGGCCGTTCTCCTCTGTCCTCCAGTCCTCACGTGGGCATGGACCACTCTTGATCAACGTCGACGAACCTTCTTCATTCGGTGAGTTAGTCCTTCTACAAGGACACCAGGGAGAGATACAATCATCTTGAGCTCGAGAGATGGGACGGCTTCCATCAATGATGCTTTATGTGCAACCTCCACTGCAGGTACGTATTAATGGCGCCTCTTTAACAGTGTTTCTTCCATTTATTGTGTTAGTTCATGTTGCTCTCAGTTTCACGTGCTGGGTGTTTATTGGACCCCTTTCTTGACGCTGCTCTTTCAAAAATTACTATGAGATATTTTAAAGTCCTGAGCAACCATGCACCACTCTCCGCTCTCCAGTTGTACCTTCTGTTGATTTGGAAATGCGCTTCTGCGGTATCTACAAGGTTTAAGAAGGTTTTGTGCGCTTTCGACCAAAGTTAGGGTTTTGTGAAAGGAGTTAGGAGACTGTTGTGATTATTTATTACTTCTGTTTGTGTCTCATTTTTCTTCTAGGTTCCCCAAGTGTTTGACAGCGTTTGATTCCTATGGTCGTGAGGGGCTTGTTTATCATTCGTACTGAAATTTGTGTTATCCACTTGGTGGTTTTGTGTGAGATGTGAGAGCTCGTTTGCATGCGTGTGTTTTGTTGTTTTTGGGTAACGAAGATGAAATTCATTGAACAGAGTGAATAGGTACATAGCCCAGTTCATAGAAACCAACTTAAACCAAACTGACAGAGAGCTCCAAACTTCGATTCCCCCCTTCTTATTCTGTTTCTTGGGTATATAGTGAACTAAGTAGTCGTTGCAAGTTTTAACACTGTGGTGAAAGCTCAACAGCTGTTTTTATTTAGTGAATTAGCGAATCAGTTTTCACTTTGTGGGGTTTAAGTAAGCTTCATTTCAAGTTTTGCATTTCTTCATGTAGCGTTGTGCTTAAGTGGAATGCTTGATATGATTTTGATTCCATTTTTTATTTCTTTTTTAACTTTACTTACTAGGGATGGAAACCAAGGAAATCAAGTCCCCTGAAGTTTTGTCGGAGATGCCAGCAAGGGTGGGTGGGATCTCTGATTCATTTCATAGGAAGAAGCTTGGAATTTATTTCAAAGAGAGTGATGATAGGAGGACTGCCATTGGCGGTGGCTATATTGGAGGAACTACTCCTGTGAATATCCGTGGCAAGCCAATTACCGATCTATCAAAAACGGGGGGTTGGATTGCTGCCTTTTTTATTTTTGGTATGCAGACGCTTTATAAGTTAATTTCTTTCCTTTTGTAGCAACACATCTTGTCTATCTCGGAAGATGAGACAATTGGAGGATGGAATTTTTCTATCTGTTTTGTTGTATGTATTCTAGTTCCAAATACGTGGACCTGAATGAATTTGGTTTGTCGTTTGTATAGGTAATGAAATGGCAGAGAGAATGGCGTACTTTGGACTTTCAGTTAATATGGTGGCATTTATGTTTTATGTAATGCATAGACCCTTCTCCAGTTCAGCAAATGCTGTTAATATTTTCTTGGGGATATCACAGGCTTCATCTGTGCTTGGTGGATTTCTTGCTGATGCATATCTTGGTCGATATTGGACAATAGCAATCTTCACGACAATCTATCTTGCAGTGAGTGCTTAATGATAGAATATATTAGTATAGTAGTAGTTGTCTTGATATTTCACATTGATTCTCATGGGAAAATTAACTAATTGAGGGAAGAGACAAAGGGTCCATTGGAACAAGAAACTATGAACCTGAAGTAGAGAAAATAACTTGCTCATTGTATTTTCTCAAAAATAAAATTTGGATACCAGACATGTTTCTGACTTATTCTCCACTTTCCCACAAAGAAGAATGTACTTTTAGTTGCTTATACCCGTGTGAGATGGATTATGTTATTGGCATCTCTCTTAATATATTGAAAATTTTCACATGTACTGATAAAATCATAAGTATTATACGTTAACTCTGCACAGTGGTTCGAGGTTCATGGAACAATTATGAGCCATTTGATAATGGCTCAAGTGGCTGAGTTCAAAGACTTTCTTTATCTTTTAGTGAAAAAGGTCTCTTTTTCCGAAAGAAATGATTGAATGACTTTTTCTTGTTAGTAACTAAGTGGCATGTTGGGTTGGTTATTATACCCTTAAATATTTTATTATAATACTATCTTATCCACTAAAATACAAAGTGATAATTCATTCAGTTTAGCCACTTAAGTTGTCATCAAACATCCCCTTAATTTGCTTTCATCTCCTTGTGAAGTCACCATGTGCTTCTAAACTTTGTTTCACACACCAATTTTCACCTTATAAATTATGTCAATTATGTTTATTCTCCACAATGTACCTTCTTCCAACTGTTGTTACATGTCTATTTCCTATAGTTTAGATTCATCAGAGTTCTCATGAAGATTGCATACTACTCTCTTCTTTTCTGCAGGGTCTAACAGGGATAACCTTGTGTGCAACAATGAGTACATTTGTGCCAAATCAAGATCAATGTAATCAACTGTCCCTTCTCTTGGGCAATTGTGAGGCGGCAAAGCAATGGCAGATGATCTACCTTTATGGTGTTCTTTATCTCACTGGGTTTGGAGCCGCAGGTATAAGGCCTTGTGTGTCTTCTTTTGGGGCTGATCAGTTTGATGAAAGGAGTAGAGATTACAAGTCTCACTTAGACAGGTTTTTTAATTTCTTCTATCTTTCCGTCACCGTTGGAGCAATTGTGGCCTTCACTATGGTAGTCTATATTCAAAAGAAACATGGATGGGGATCTGCTTTTGGTTCATTAGCCATAGCTATGGGCATATCAAATATGGTGTTCTTCATAGGCACTCCTTTATACAGGCACAGGTTGCCTGGAGGTAGCCCTCTCACAAGAGTGGCTCAAGTCCTGGTTGCTGCTTTTCAGAAGAGAAATGCTTCTTTTTCCAGCAGTGAGTTAGTAGGCTTATATGAGGTTCCAGGCAGACGATCTGCTATAAAGGGAAGTGGAAAGATAGCTCATACTGATGATTTTAGGTATGTGAGCTCTTTTCTTTTCTTTTTCTTTTTCTTTGTGTGTGTGTGTGTGTGCTCTATTCCATGGCAATATGTTGTGGTGAAACAGCTTGGCGTGCCTGCCTAAATCCTGCATCCTTTGGATGATATAACCATTTGATCAGATCCCATTTAGGAATGGCTGGGATTGCCATGTCTATGCATTTTTTTTTGTAGTGCCAGATCCAAGAGCTGGTCTATCAGTTCGATGGCCAACTAAAATACCTGACATAGATGTTGGAAGATCTTGGACCTCAAATTATTTTATCTGCTTTTCCTAACTTGTCCTCTGACCACGGGAAACTTATTTTGTATATTCATCTATATACCTCACGTTCCATAGATAACATGTCGCTTTTTTTGGCCTATAGGTTTCTAGATAGGGCTGCTCTGCAACTGAAAGAAGATGGTGCTGACCCCAGTCCCTGGAGACTTTGCACTGTCACTCAAGTAGAAGAGGTTAAAATTCTATTGAAACTCCTCCCAATACCTGCCTGCACTATAATGCTCAATGTAATTTTGACAGAATTCCTGACTCTATCAGTGCAGCAGGCATATACCTTGAATACTCGTATGGGACATCTGAAACTCCCAGTGACATGTATGCCTGTTTTTCCTGGTCTCAGCATTTTCCTCATCCTCTCTCTCTACTACTCTGTATTTGTCCCATTGTCCCGCCACATTACAGGTCACCCTCATGGTGCTTCTCAGCTTCAAAGGGTTGGCATTGGTTTGGTCGTCTCAATTCTATCTGTGGCATGGGCTGGGATTTTTGAGAGATACAGAAGAAACTATGCTATCAAACACGGGTATGAAGCTGGTTTCCTGACTCCAATGCCCAATCTAAGTGCATACTGGTTATTGATACAATACTGTCTAATTGGCATAGCCGAAGTATTTTGCATTGTGGGCCTTCTAGAATTCCTGTATGAAGAGGCTCCAGATGCCATGAGGAGCATAGGATCTGCGTATGCTGCCGTAGCTGGGGGTTTAGGCTGCTTTGCAGCCACTATATTGAACAGCGTCATCAAATCTGTCACAGGAGATGCAAAGCGGGGCCGACCTTCATGGCTATCCCAGAATATAAATACTGGTAGGTTTGATTATTTGTACTGGCTTCTTACAGTATTAAGTATAATCAATTTCTGTGCTTTTCTATATTCAGCACAGAAGTATAAATACAGGGCAAAGCCGGACCCAGGGATTGGGGAACAAAATGTTAACAAAGTAATTGGTAAACCAGTATAGCATAATTAATCAGGAAAATTGGCATTGGATGTGAAACCTATGTGCACTCTTAAGATCCACATGGAATCCAATTATTTATCTTGAACCATCATTGGCAAAGGTAGTAACTTTGAGCTGTATTAGTAAGATGGTTATAGTTGATTGGATAGTCATTATGATTTGTTGTTGAATGATATCACGCTTTATTTGATTATGTGGCAGATCAAATGTCATGTTTTATTTGATTTCTTGTTTAAGATTGCGTTTGTTTCCCGTGCAAAAACAAATCTGTACCATTCAAAAATCCCCTCTGACCCATTTATGAATACAAGCTGGTTTAATTTTACACTAATAAATTTTCGGGGTGTTTGGTTAAGTGGGCGTTTATTCAATAAACGCTGCCACATAGGTGCCACTTCAGCAATTCCTTTCTCTTGTTCTTCTATATGCATCCAGAATGGCAAAAATGGACCTTAGTTTTTTGTGCACACTTATCGTTTGGGGAAGTTAATTTTTAAAGCTTTCACAAATGGTTAGGTTTTTTTTCGCTGTTATGTTGATGTGGAGCTTAGTGGCGCCTAGTCGTAAACGGTTATAATTATTACCTTTTTCGGTTTTGCAAGCAAGTAAGTTATAAACGTTGAATGAAAAAAATATAAATGGAACCAAACACATACTTTGTATTCGAATCAAAGGTTTCTGGTTGTAATGAGTATGGATTTATTTTTTACATTAACCCACTATGAGTGCAAAGTTTATATAGATTTTTTCAGTACAGACTTTTTCTCATTTTGAGTACAAATGTCTTGGAAGTTGTGGTAGCTGTCATTTTGAGTACATTTGTGTATTTAACCAGTATTTGTACTGCCAACAAATGCAGCTTAATGGTATTGTTTATCTACATGAAAATGGTATAAACTCTTCAGATCCTCAAGCAAAGCAAGGGCTCTGTTTCTCTAAAAGAACAACTTAACATCCAATGATTAAAAAAATGTATAGAAAATACAAGGTAGCAAAGTAATCTGGTGTGTAGGAGTGCTCATAAAAAGCCAAAAAAGTTTAATTGAAAAATCCAGAATTAATATATTCTATTTATATATTGTAAATATAAAAAACTGAAATTAAATTATTCGGTTCAGTTAAAAACCCACAGTTTGTCAAAAAAAAAAAAAAACGACAGTTCATTTAACGGAAGTTACGGAACCGTAAAAATTCGACAGTTTTTACATTTTACTTCTTTTGTAAAGCCAAATTGCCAATGTGAGCATGATGATAGCACCACGTCACAATCTTAGATGTTCGGGGGTATATTCTTCAAAACGAGAGTAGTATGACATAATTAAACAAAAAGGAAAAATCTATGCTATTGGATGATACGTGAAGAGCCTTGACCAATCAAACCTGGTGCGGTGAATATTGATAAATACCACCTGATTTTTTGGAGTTTGGATTTCTTATCCATGATAACTCTACCTACGCCTATCCATGACACATGGGGAACATTTCATTTTCTTATATTACTAGTAATTAAGCACTGCATTGCATGTGATAATTTTTTTCATATTAATTACTTGAATTTTAGATATATTATAATTAAGATAGAAATTGAAAATTAATAAAAGTAACAATATAATTAAAACTAAATGTAAATGCTTGTTGCAAATGTGCATATGCATTGCACATGAAAAATTTAAATTATAATAACACATTATTATTATTATTATTATTAACTTTTTGTATTCCATTTCTATCATAATAAAAATATTTTTTATTTTAACAATTATGTTTATTTAATATGATGAATATAGAACATTAGGAGTGTTTCCAAATGTTTTCGACAAAATTCTGCATTTCTTCATTTTTTATGTTTTATCTTTTTTTTTAAATATTTATTATTCAATTATGACATCATGAGTTTCTTTGAAAAGTTGCATCATTGACCCACCATCTAAATAAGAAAATAGCTTTGCTTTAGTATTAGTGTTAAGTTATATATTTCATCTACATTATATAAATAATTTCTACTTATCATACTTAGTTTTTATTTGACATAATTAATATATAATTTTTTATATATTCATTTGATTACTTGTACTTTTTTTATTTTTTAAGATTTACTATTTAGCTAATCATGTCATCGATTAATCCATTTGACCCAAACCACTAACCCACCACCCAAAAAGAAAAATAGTTTGATTTCTATGTTGACATTAAATTTTGTATTACATCTCCATCATTAATAAAATTATTTCTTATGTATAATACTTATTTTTGTTCAATATAGTGAATGTATAATATTAGATATGTACCCAATATTTTATTTTTTATAAATATATAACATTAGATATGTGCCCAAATGTTTGTCTATTTTTTTTTTATTTTTGTGATTCTTTGTATTTTTTATTTTAAAAAAATTATTATTTGACTATGGCATCATTTCATTTCTAGGTTGATTTTAAATTTGGTATTCTATTTTCAACATTAATAAGAATACTTCTTACATTTCATAGTTTTTTTTTTGTTTAGCATAATGAATATACATTATTAGATGCATGCCCATTTCTTTTTATTTTTATTTGTATTATATATTTAATTTATTTTATTATTTAATTATGACATTATTTATTAACCTATTTGACCCCATATGATAGAATTGCTTACCTACCATCGGGAGGGAAGAAAATGGTTTTGTTTTTAAATTCTTTTTTTTTAATATTTATTTTTATACTATTAAAATTAATGTTAAGGATTTAATTAGTACAATATAATGATGAAAAAAATATATCTTAAATATAGGATTTAATGAGAGAATATACCTTAGATGTGATATTTAATGAATGAAAATAGGAAAATAGTTTTATTTCCAATTAGTTTTAAATTTTACAATCCATTTCCATTATTAATGACATCATTTTGTATTTATCATATTTATTCTTGTTTAATATGCAGAATCTATGATGTTAAAAATGTTTTTATTTTTTAATTTCTATATTTTCTTTGCATTTTATCTATTTTTGAATTTTATTATTTAATTGTGATAATATTGATTATCCTGTTTAACCCAAAATATTTAATTTCTTATCACCACCTAGATGAAAACACATGTCTATATATTATATAAGTAATAATCAGTATCTCGTTTTTAACCCGTCTCTTTTATCATACCACATATGTAACATCAATTTTTTTTTTCTTTTTTTTTTTTTGCATATTTCATTCTTAAAACTGAATCAAGATATATGCTTATTATGACTCCACTGCCAATCGATGATATAATACAATCGAATATAATAAACTACTATATTAAATTATTATATCCGAAATCCAACTTTATATTTTATATATGTATAAAACAGGATTGCATTAAATCCTGGCGATGAAATAAATGAATATGTGAAAACGATCTAATTAATAAATAAATCATATTTGAACATCCAATTATCCAAAATACGGCTAAATGGATATCTCAATCCAACTTAAACTAAATTGATTAGAATTCGGATCAGACTAAATCTGATACATTTGCAGCCCTAACCACCAATGGTCACTAACAGATTATGGCCTTCCTTGAGGGTTGGGATTTTTGAAAGCCAACGGGACCAATTGAAGAAAACACCTTATTGATCAGCTTTGGATTTGGAAGCCCCTTTTCTAGGAATTCTTAATACGTACGAATGTGCCATGACACAATGGGAGAAATGGAACAAATGTGTGCATACAAACAAAATTAGGGCCAACTCTAAAATGGTTGACAATATCTGGGGCAACAAATTGACATGACCCATTCTTGTGGCGAAACCTGTTCTGTGTTGAGCCTCGATACAATCCCTGCATGCAAGTTTGCCTCCAGACTCAAAAAGGATCAATATCTGGACTGTTGTTTATCATACCTTTAAATCAAACAACAATTTGGCAAATAGCCAATATACCCAATTCCTAGCTTGCAATTGCAAAGAGTAAATTTGAAATGCAACTCAAGAGAAAAAGAAGAAAGGAGAAAACAAGGGGAGATACGAAGAAGGTGGTGCCGCAGTGAAGTTTCATATGTTCAAATCACCCAGTCTCCCAAAGATATCTTATGTATTCAACCCCCCTACCCTAAAAAAAATGAAATATCCAACCAAAAGATATGGAAAAGAAACTATATATTGCTTACCAATAAAAGAAGAGATTCCGTTATTTTTTCCCGTCCGTAAGACCGTAACTTCCTCCACTTTTGCCATCTAAATATGTACATGGGATTGAGGTGGCTTTTGTATGGATATGTACAAAACTTTGCCTTTTCAGCTTCCATAACTGTCTCTATCACTACCTCTGCCTTGTTTCTCTTGGCTGGTAAAAGTTCGTAAGTTCCAGTATGCCATGCCTTGGCATCCAGCGTCTGAGCTATCTCCATATTCAACAAGCTCATCAGCATACACTGCCAACCCCATTTAAATGTCTAACAAGATTATCCCTATTGGTTCCAAGACCTCAAAAATGGCTTTTCAAGTGCATCATTTAGGCCTGAACTCTGATGCTGCATATTCATCCATGACATACTATTTCCTTTGACGGAGGTAGCAGAAGGGGCTTCACGCCCACTCAAGTAGTTAAGCTGATGATCTGTGCCTGGGAAGTCCATGTTTCCAGGAATTCCTCCACCCACAAAATTCCTTGATGGAATATAGTGTTCAGTTGCATTCACTGTATCATAATGGGAAAGAGACTTTAACTTGTTACATTGTGACAGAACACTGAACAAGCTCTCATCTGTATTGCTTCCATTTTCCAAGCTAGCTGCACCACTAGAAATGTCCACACCAGACCAGCCACCCCGAGCCCGATGCTCACCTGGAAACCAGTTCTGACCCAACAATCCCTCACTATTTAAGGGTGTTTTGACAGGGACTGGAACACGAACAGGATTGACAGCCCAATCCTGCACATTGACAGATGAAAAGAGATCTTGGCTTGGAATAGGGTATCCACCTCCATTAGAATACATGTTCTTCTGGATCATTTGATGCATGTAAAGCTCTTTCTCTCTCATTTCCCTCTGCTCCAACTGATTCTCCTGCTCACAGAAATTCCCATGAAGGCGATCATTTCCTAGCAAATCATCATTTGTTGACAGGAACTGGAATGTTGTTTGCTTGTGCTCATGAGGGTAAGACTGTATCATCTCTTGGCCCTTGAGAAAGGGATGAAGTAGTTCACTGCGTTCCTGGTTTGTGTAGGAATTGAAGAATGACCCACCATTTTCAACATGCAAACTTGAACCAGCATCATTGGATGGTCTGTGCAACAAAACTTCCCCAGTATCTTGCTCAAGAATGTCAGATTCCAAATCTATGAAGCGAGTAGATTGCTCTTCAACAGGCTTCGGTTGACCAAGTGACAACTCACTGGAAGATGTATAGCCATGGCTTGCAGAAGTAGTATGATAGTAGGAATTTGGCATGCTACCCTCAGGCCAGACATCTTTGATTGGAACTTCTTGGTCAACAGATTCCTCTGTAGGGTTCGTGTTCTCTACACATTCTGAAAAACTTGGAGCTGCACTTTCTGGTTTCAACACTTTTTGGTTAGCAGCATCAGAATCAATGTCCATAGTATCAAGTTCATATTGACCATTAAGTGAAAGAATTCGCTCCAGAGGCCGACTGTGGGTGGTGTTAGGAACAGACTCTTCATCACCTCCACAACTCTGTACATCTACAGAGCCTTCATTATCCGATTTTCCACTCTCTTCTTGTTCTTGAACCATGTTATCCACATTCTCTTGCTCCTCATCCTAGCCAACCAATCACCCAGCTAAGAGTTCAATATGCTACTGCCAAGAAAAACTCTTAACCGCAGCAAAAATAAAGGAGCTTCCCAAAAGAATCTAGGTCAACATTGAACAGTGACACATTTACACAACAAATTAAAAAAGTAAAAGAAGATAGGTAACATACATCCCCTACCAAAGATTTCTCCTTTTCTGCCAATTCTTGCTGCACAGACCTTCTCCATTGGTGTCTCTGCAATTGTCTATTTTTCCAGTATGAAAAAGCTGCTGGAAGATCTCTCTTAGCCAAATTTGACCTATGTACATGGGATTTTGGTCTTAGCAAATGTATAAACCATATTTATATAAAAGGATAAAACTTTAAATATGGAATAAAATCATGGACTACTCTGAATAAGTTAACTTGGACATAAAATACCTACCAGTGTTCATGCAACTTCTTCCGTTCTTCCTCCTCAAATGTTTCATATGGTTCTACGTGAAAACTTTTGATATCACCCAAAACACGGTTAAGAGACTTGGACTGAATGCCATCAGCAGACTGCTTTATCCGCTTAACAAGTTGATGTTGCTTTCTGCTTACCTACAATTTATCAAAAGTAGAGGATGAGTTACAGAATTTTGAACATCAAAAATTCAATTGGAGAGCCACAATGATACAATTTAAATAATTATGTTCCTTTTTTAGTGATTTTCCTTATTGTTCACATAAAAAAAAACTAAAAAAGGATAAAGAGGAATGAAAGCAACATAAGGTGGGAAGGGATATTCTCAGTGGTGAGCATGCACTATGCAGAGTCAAGTTTGGACTAGGTTCATGTCCTCGGGCAAACAACAACCGAGTCCATGGAGTAGCAAAAGCTGAAATTATAGACCAAAAGTTCTAACCATTACATAGAAGTTGCGATTTTTTTTTTTTTATTTGGTTTCTAAATTAATTCATATATGCTTGGACTATATGTTAGATGTATTGGGTTTGGTATTATACCTGAGTTGAGCCATGCAAATAGGCCAACGGTTTGTTTGCAGTACGTGTTTTTGCAATTGGGTAATTTTATCTCAGTGCGTCAGTTCAGGTTGTAGAGACAATATGTCTATTTAGGTTGTTTTTCTCAGTGTTTTCAACGAGTGGTTGAACTGGCTAGTCAGACCAGTCAACACATCATCTGGCCAGGATTCTATCTCTGTTCCACTACCAACAGTTTGTTGCAAAAATAAATAAAAACAAAAAAGACCCACTGAACCATTTGACCGAATTAGTGGGTCACAGGTCAAATACTTCTCTTTTTTTTTCTGTTTTTATATTTTTAGACATTTTCATCATTAATAAAAATAATTCTTGTTTGCCACGTTTTTGTTAAAATCATGAATATATAACATTAGAGATAAGCCCTAATTTTTGCTACAAATTTCTATATTTTCTGTATTTTTGTACTCTCTCTATACACACACATTTCGTAATTTAATTATGATGTCATGATCACCCTTTGACCTGGACGGAATAACAGTTCTGTTTCCAGGCTGGTTTTAAAAACGCCAAATTTCCCCCTTTTTTACCATTTTTGAGCCATAGCCCATATATGCTTCCATCTCGGTTTTGAAGGTTTTTTCTCTGTAGCTCTCTTTTAGTGGGTTTTGTTTTCTATTGTAATCAAGTTTAAGACCTCCAACACTGGATTTTTACGGAGATTCAAGTCTTAATATTAATTTTCATAATAGTGATTAATTAAATTTGTTCCGATCTGGACAGTTGAGTATTACAATACTGACTGGATGAAGACATTTCATGTAAATAAAAAAAAAAGAGCAAATAAAGAACACCCTAACTCTTCCTTTTTTTTGATAGTTACCCTAACTCTTAGTTTTATCAGGTGTGGGCTTTTTTCCATCATTACTGACTGGACTTATTTCAAGCTTCAAGTAATTTATTTGGAATATTTAGATAATGATTATGGACTGTTCCAACCAGTGCTAGACATTTCAGTTCACCAAAACGTGGGGCTGTTTTCAGTGTCAACCAATGATTGACACTAATCTACTTTGTCACTTGTTTTCCTGGTCGGGACAACTAGATTGTGACTTTGTGAATCACCCAAATTAACTTCAACCCAGGAAAGACCTGATCAATCTCATATCAGACCACAAATAGAGTGTTTCTCCATGATATTTTGGACACTCGATTGGTGCCTTTTTAACCTCTTTATTTTGAAAAATTGCAGTCACTAATCGACATCCTCAACCCTAGTCAAAGTAGTTTTTTTATTCTTGTTAATCTAATGGTCTTTGTTTGCTGTTTACTATTTTCTGGTATATTTGTGGTTTGGGATGGGTTGGATTTCATGTTGTGCATCCAACAAATGAGGAATTGGTATAGGATAACCGAACAAGGAGAAAGGTCCTACTAGGGTGTACATGGTGGGTAAATAATAAGAATATTGCACTTTTGCCTAAAGGTAATTATAAACAATTTTTTTTTTTATTCCACTGACTCAATTCTAACATTCCAAAAACAATGGGATTACTCACTGACTTAAACCTATGTTGGCCGTTTCCTCAGTTCCTTAAATCTATGTTGGTCATGTCCATGTACCCTTAAAGAGCTATTGGAAGCCTGCTGGGTGAAAGACTAAAATAGAAGAGGCAAATGCCTATGGCTCACCAGTCCAACAGTGGTGATGGGTAGAAAGAAAGAAAAGAATATTTTAAAGCAAAGCTACTAGAGAGGATGGTTTGAGGAAAAATGCAGGGCGCTTCTGCTCTTGTGTCAGTGGATAAGGATTTCAGGGTGCAAGAGCATAGATATTTGAATCACCACATACCTGGTTTAATCCATCTTGAGCCAAAGTTGAGTCAACACAGCCTATTGACCAACCTGGGTCACCAAGCAGTAATTCAAAGCGTATTATAAGAATACACCAGTGGCAGACAGTCGACCACCTTGGCTGATGTGGTGTGGAAGGTTCTAGACACCTTCCCACTTAATGAATAAGAAAGTATAAATAGCTCTCAGCACTGACATTGTGTGTGTGTGTCAGAGGGGTTCTCTAAGACTCACACAGTTTCCCTCTTTCTTTCTCTCCCCCTTTCTGTCAGATCACCGACTTACAGAGTATGCAGTGCAGCCCCTCTGGGGGTCCAGCCAATTCTCAGTTCAATCCATTTCCCCCCAGACTTTCAGAGTCAACTTAAGGTGCCAAATCCACTGTTTGCAGTAGGGATTCTCTTTTTTGTATGAGAAACATTGATTGGGATGTAATCTGTTTCTCACTGTAGAGAAGGTCATGTACCTTTCCTAACATCTTTGAGCTCTATCTGTTCTTTTTTATTCCAAATATAACAATTGGTTTTTAAAATAACAGATAACTAAGGCAAAACAGGGATACTCAAATATTGATTCCACCTCCTAAAAGAAATCTGAAAACACTCTAATAATCCTACTACAAGTACAGCTAAACAAACTAAAAACAACTCCAAGATAGACCAAGAAAACATAAAGACTCAAATATCATCAAAGATGGGCACCTATCAGAAAAAAAATTCATAATTCTCTCAAAACATGTCAGATTTACAAGATCTTTGATTTGTTGGATAGGTAATTCAATAACCTATCCAATGAAATCAAATCACAAAACAGGCAAGTTTTTATCCCTAAAAATACATCTTCGACTTTTCAAAATTTGAATACCTCTCTGGCAAGACTCTTGAAATAGTTCCACCATCTAAGACAATAACCCTATCCCTAGGGTATTAATAAACTAAAGCAACTATTATAAAACTCAGACCTACCAAAAATTAAAAGTTTCCATTATTGTAGGGAAAACCAATTTTTTCTCCATTGATCCTTACCTTGTTTTCATGTCTGCATTAGGACCTCTACTTCATTCGATTTATTCATCAGTCCAATTTGACCATATTGACATTTCATTAGCCAACTCCATCTTGCTTGACTTGGACATCATCAGTTCCAATCTGTTAGGCAATTCTATTGCCATCAGTTTCAATTAAATGTTTTGGTAATGCTAGCTTTTAATATGCTCAAGATCTGGCTTTAGGTGGTCTTTTTTTATAGTCCCCTAAGCTATTGCCACAATCATAGTATCTTATGGTAGGTTAGTACATGGATTGGATCAAAACTTTTTTTTTGATAGATAATAGCAATTTTATTATTTAAAATAAAAAAAAGGATACATATAAATCCCTGCAAGGAGGTGCGAGGTGCAGCCTCTAAACTATATCATAAAGCTTACAAATGAGCCAAAAAAAGCTGATTCCTAAGTACCCCTTGTTTTGCTAGAAAATCTGCCAACCCATTTGCCGATATTCTTTCTCATTGAATTGTGACACATATTTTCCGGTATTTAGGTCATAGGTTTATGTGTTTATTTGGGTTATCTCTCTTGCTTCTGTTTTTGAGTTGTATCACTCTATGGCTCTAGCGTTCTCATCATCGATGCCTTATCCCAACTATATGGGGTTGCATATGGCTCTGGTTTCTATTTAAGATTGTTTTGTATCTTTTTTTTGGAGAGAGAGAGAGGTAATATTGCGGGATTCTTTTATTCCTTTATTTTTCTGTAGTAGAGCAGCAATGCTCACTATGCAGGCTACCAGACTGAACCATATTTTCTGCTGTTTTTTAATTTGCTATATTACCTTGTAAAGTCTGGGCCTGTCCAAGGTGTGGTTGTTTGGATTAAGTCTACACAGCCTCACTTGCAGATGTGAAGTTTTTTTTTTGTTTTTTTTTTGAGAGAAGTTAACTGTGAATTTTATTAAAAAAAAACAGGTACATAAGAAGATGTACAGAAGCCTTAAAGAGGCAGAAACAGGGTTACACAGGCAAAGATGTATCACTAAACATAAATTCTCTATGAGCTCCAGATTTGGCTAGGTGGCCAGCTACAGAGTTCACTTCCCTAGGAATCCACACCAGCTTCACATTCAGAGTGTCCAAAATATTTTTTTTTTGATAAGTAAATGGAAAAAAATTTATTAAATGAAAAGAAATTACATATCAGGGTGATGAGACAGCACCCGAATACAAAGAAAAACAAGAGAGCCTACTACCAAATTAGATAACAGGCTCTACATTACATTACAGATTTGATATCCCAAAACCTCTCCTAACCCACTCCCAAAAGCCTCCTTTTTTTGATGACTGAATTCAGGAAGAATCAACACCCATTCTACCACAGATCTGCCCACAGCCGCAACCATCTTCTCCATGCTACAGGCCTTGTCTTCAAAAGTCCTCCTGTTCCTTTCCTTCCATATGTTCCAGCATATTGCAAATGGGATACAACTCCATAGTAACCTCACCTTCTTGCACCTAGACATCCTAGGCCATGTTGAAAAAATCTCAGCTGTTGTGATTGGGTGAAATCCAGAGACCCTAAACATGGAAGTAAACACATCCCACAGGAATCTTGAGAAGTCGCATGAGATGAATAGGTGAATCATGTTCTCCTCCTGTTCCTCACAAAGGCAGCATCTGGAAGCCATGTTAAAGCCTCTGGATTTCAAGTGATCGGCTGTCAAAATGCTGTCCATTGCTATCAGCCAAGCCAAAGCTTCCACTCTTGGAGAAACTGGGTTTCCCTGAATGCCCTTAATGTGATTCACATCTGAGATAGATCTGCTGAGAGCCAGATAACAAGACTTTACTGTGAACTTGCCATTCTTGCACTCTTTCCACCAAAGCTTATCTCTGAGCTGAATTGTAGGTTTTATACCCTCCAATTTCTCCAAGAGAGAAATGCATTCTTCAACTTCTCTGTTCAATAAAGGCCTCCTGAATTTCGGACTCCAGATCAGCTGCTCTCCCTCCTTTCATAGCAACCACTAATAGTGACTTCTGCCTCTGTTAATATATACAGTTTTGGACATAGGCCACAGAGACTTCCCACCCCACACCACTCATCCACCCAAAACCTGATTTTAGATCCATCCCCTACTACAAAGCTTGTTAGATCCCTGAATTCCTTGTTGAAGGTCATGATCCCCTTCCACACACTAACCCCATAGGAAGCCCTCACCTTCTTTGATTCCCAACCAAATCTCACAACTCCATACTTCCCCACCACAGCCCTCCTCCACAAAGAACTATCCTCCTCTCCTAAGCTGAACCGCCACAGCCACTTCCCCAATAAAGCCCTATTGAAAATTCCCACTCTCCTTATCCCTCACCCTCCCCAAAATATCTCTAGCCTCACTTGCAGATGTGAAGATCAATGAGCATCTTGGCATGACATACAGAATATTTTTGACAATAATAGAAATATCAAAGTTCTGAATATTAAAAGGCTCCTCCAATGATAGTACAGTATCTTCTACACAGAACATAATAGTCTTTCCATATAAATAACAGGAAAAATAGACAAATTTAAATAGAATGTGAAGCATATTTCCCACAGGAACTGCATAAAAATTTGAATCATACAGAACATTCTAACCTTGAAATAAGACATATATTTAGCACCATCACAAGAGCGGATATAAAGCTTTTGTGGCTTTTCTTCTTTTATTGAATTTGCCATCACCTTAGGCCTTTCTAAAGCCACCAATAAATTTCTACGCTTGTCCATGGTTCCCTTCCTGCACATAGAGGATACTAACTAAGATTCACACCAGAATAATGCAGTACAGCATAAATTAAAAAAAAAGGGGAAAAAAACACTTTTGCCTCGATCAAACTCCTGCACCCCAATGGCTCAAAGCAGATAATCCAAAAAAGTGTCAAACAAATTTAGAAGCCTCTAGTCTCTATTATTTGTCATACACTCAAACTTGATCTTTTGAAAGCGGGGCATCTACACAATGCACTACTTATGAGTAAGGCTGTCGATGACCAAGCTAGATCAGATTGTTCATGAACTGTATTCCCTTAAGCTTAACCTGAACTTAATTACTGGGCATGTTAGTCAAGCCAGAACATAAATGAAGCACATTTAGCTAATGATCTAAGACAGGTAGGTGGGTTACCTGTAATAGTTAAGGTGTGGGCAGTTTATATATTCAAATATAATGTTATGTACAATTTAGATATAGCAAATGCAAGTTGGGTCTTCCTAGTATGGACGCCAGCCTTGGGTAAGTGTCTCACTAAGGATAAGCTGGTAAGAAGAGGCATCTCTATCACATCTACCTACTATCCTCTTTGCAACGTAGAACAGGAAACAGCAGACCATTTTTTTCTTCACTGTTCAATCTCAAGGCTTATATGGGCCTATTTGCTTGGAAACCTTCATTTGAGTTGGGTCTTCCCTTGCACAACTCTTGGCTTCTTAGAGAGTTGGTATCTTGAAGGTCTCTGAAGCAATGACAAGCATGTTTGAAGTTTGATTCCTGTGGCTGCTCTCTGGACCATTTGGATGGATAGGAATAGCAGAGCTTTTGAAGGCAAAGCTTCTCAAACAGATGAACTGATACAAAACACAGTGGCAAAGATTTTTTTCTTGGTCCCAAGCTTCCAGCCTTATAAAAGATTATCTTTTTTTTTTTTTTGTAATTCTGCCGTTAAATGACCTGTGTACTCTCATTGTTGTACACTCTCCCTGTGCACCATACAGTTCCTCATTCTTGTTGTGAATACTTTTCCCAGTTTTTTTCTTTTTTTTTTTTGAAACAGGTAATGTGAAACACTTTGCCCAATATTAATACAATAGACTTTACTCTTGCTCCAAAAAAGAGATATAATAAATGCAAATTCTATAAATAATTACCAATTCTTTTCTTTTAGTTTCATGATAATTGTGGACCTTATACTGCAGCTCAGTTCACAAAATTGGGCTCAAATGAACCAATTATCAAAGATCAACTTAACAAGCCTATCAAGCTGAGTTCAAGCTTGCCAGATATTTAATAGGCCAAACCTAAAAGCCCCACCACTTTAAGCTTGCCAGGACCTGACCCAAAACCAGAATACAACTACTACTTTATGAGGCCAAGTTAAGCTTGGAAAAAGCTAAGCTGAGCTCACTTCCAACACTACTTAAGAGAATATTTTTATCTGAGAGATCATAAAGAAATTAAAGCTCTGCAGAATCAAATATACACTGCCCCCATTGATCTGGTAATAAGACTGATCAAATGATTTTTTTTGGAGTACCTTTCTTGTGGTTCTCCATGCTTCATTATCAATAAACTCTGCCTTTTCCTACCGCATACTTTTTCATCTGCAACCCAAGAACAAGATTCCGCAGTTGCTGCCATAATCTCTTCTGGATCACATGGTTTAGATTCATTAACATAAGATTCAAGACCATTTTCCACACGCTTTCGTGAAGACCTGGTAAAAAGGGAACTAGAATGTTAAAATGAACTCCAAAATAGTCACTAGATGGATCACATCAAGAAACTTTTTAATAGATAACCATCATCATGTCAAGTATTGACCTCCAATAGTTGGTAAGAACACACATCAAAGTTACAAAAAGCATACCTCTGATATTATCAGCCAACATAGAGAAGTAGGGGAGTACATTCTAATTCTATTCACAGTTGATCAAGTTCAAAAATTTAGGTTATAAAAATTCCAAGACATCTTACAACTTTCAAAGGAATTTTACAGAAAATGGTTTAGATGATCCTCTCCATTTAGGACTGTAAGTAAATATTGAATTCTCTGCAGTGCTAAAAAGCCACAGGCATGTAAAACAGAGTTTAATATGCATGCAGCAAACTCTCTTTCAAATTCTATTTCTGATCACCTTGAATAGTATCTCTTTCTGCCCAAAGTTTATTTTTAAAAATTAAAAAATAAAGCTACACAATAAACAATCTAAAGAGATATGAATAAAACCAAAGAGAAAAGTAAATCATCAAAAAACAGAACTAAAATTTCAAAAACGTAATGTTCCCTTTCTCTTTTTTTTTGATAAGTAAAAATTACATTTATTAATCAATAAAAAATAAGCATTACAAGCATCCTTTTTTTTGGAAAAGATAAGGTAAATTTATTATTATCAGAAAAGAAGAACCCAGAGAGGCCCCACAAATAAGAGCCATACACAAGGCCTGAAGCCCATAAAACATTACAACTCTAGAAGGCTTCTAGATCTAAGTTTGGCTCCAAGTACCCTGGTTTGGAGACCTTTCACAGCTGCATTCCAAGACACCAACTTGCCAAATGAAATAGAGATTAGACAGTCTACATCTTTTGATTTGTTTTTGAAAATTCTATTATTTCTTTCTGCCCAGATGGTGCTGATCACTGCTGCAGGAACAGACATCCACGCACTTTTTGCCAGCTTAGATAGGCCTTGGATCTCCCAGCACCATAACAGGTCTTACACAGCATTTGGCATGGCCCAAGATAAGCCCGAGGATGACAAGAAATGCCCCCAGATTACAGCAGAAACAAAGCAACGTAAGAACAAATGGTTGTTTTCCTCCTCCATTTGGTCACACAGCACACACTGTAGGTACCATAGAGAGGCACAAGGTGCTACCTCTCCTTACAAGAAAGCTAAATCATTACATTTGAAACCTATACCAAAAAAAATTCTAGTCATCTATTACTTAGCTAAAGTATTGGCCATCCCATTAGTTGATCTCCTCACCCATTGTATCCTCAAGTTCATACTTCTAGTGAGCCATTTAAACCTTTTCATTTCATCCCTAGAGCACCAAATTATGGATTCTGGTTCCTTCAACCATCCCACCACCAGTTTTGAATCCCCTTCAATCACCACATTTAGCATATTCAACTTGCAATTTTAATTCCTTGTAGCATAGCAAGTAATTCAGCTCTAGCTGAGCCCCCCATTCCCACTGGGCCTAAGAACAAAGCAATGACATGTCCTTCTGGGTTTCTCAAAACTCCTATTCCAGAGGGGACTGGGTTACCTTGATTGCTTCCATAAAAGTTTAGTTTTACAAATCCTTGCAATTTTAACTCCTTGTAGTACAGTGTAATGTACCCTTTCTCGTCATGACATTGCTGTCACCTCAAAGATGTTGGTAATTTTCGAGTCTAAAATACCTCATAGGTGCTGTGACAAATCATGACCACTACGACATATAGTCTTTTTTTATCAGCAGAAGGTAATTATTTTATTAGAATTAAATAAAGCTGTAGCATTACAATGTGATGACAAGGATGTCATCCCCAAGAACTTTTCAAGCCACATTTACAAAGAAGTCCTAAAGAAATCATGGACCACTATGATATACTCTTTATTATCAGCAACAATGATAAAAGCATTCATTAATGATAAAAAGAAGCAAATAGTGCAAGCATTCAAAAGGATCTTGACTGAAGGCGATACTAATTTTTTTTTTCTTGATAGATAATTATTGATAAGGTGTTCAATCAATGTGGATAAGAAAGTGGACCTCAGTAGGGTGATTGAAAAAGTAGAGGGGAGAGAGTGGATCACCTTGTCTAAGGCCTCATAAGCCTTCAATGAAATCAACTGCCGAGCCATTCACTAAAACAGAAAGGTAACTTGTTTGCAAACAACCTCTAATTCATTTACACCATACATTCCCAAAACTACACCTCTTCATGATATTAATCAAAAAGTCCTAATCCACTATCTGAACTTAATAATTTTGAAGTCCCCTCCAACAAAAGAAGGAAAATGATGATGTTTCGAGGTTGAGTGCTCGGGGTGAAGATGTTTCGAGGTAGATCTCTTCGGAAAGATCAGAAGAGGTGGAAGGAGATGAATACGGGACATGAATACGGGTTGAGTGGGGTCTGAAATGATGATGTTTCGAGGTTGAGTGCTCGGGGTGAAGACGTTTCGAGGTAGATCTCTTCGGAAAGATCAGAGAGGTGGAAGGAGATGGGAAGCTAGGAATTGGTACAGGGGTGTAGAGAAGGGAGCGAGGAGGAGACCGAACTTCTCTTACAGTAAGGCGGTTWCGACTGGAGTTTGGCCGAATTTTGGGCAGTCTGAAATCAAGAAGGTGGAGGACAGACAAATGATATTTACAGAGTCCCAAGGCGTAGAGGCTAGAAGGAGATTCCTGAGAGATTGCTTGGTGGGAAGATTTCAGTGGAGGGCGGGTTTTCAAGAAGTGGAAAAATGGGTAAGTAGATGTTGGGAGGAGGTGGGAGGAGTGAAAGTAAAGAAATTAGCCGATGACCTCTTCCTGTTCATATTCTCGTCGAGATCAACGACGACTTGGATCCTTAAGCAAGGTCCATGGCAAATGGGGAAAAATCATCTCTTTCTGGATTGGTGGGGGGCAAGCGCTGGCTGCTTCTATCCGGAATCAAGCGAAGATTCAGATCGTTCAAAAACCATCTGGGTGAGGGTGTATGGTCTTCCTCTAATATTGTGGTGCCCGATTGTGATCAAGAACATAGGGGATGCTTGCGGTGGTTTCATGGAAACCGATGACTCCCCTGAGGAGCTTTCAACCTGTGAGTGGGCTCGAATGAAGGTGAAAAGGTCTGGGAAGATTCCTGAAAAAGTGGAGGTTGTTGTGGGGGAGTCGGTTTTTGAAATTTGTATTTGGCCTGAGTTGCTGTCGACGGTCTGAAGTTGGACGCAGGAGATTCATGAGAACAGTCATTTCCGATTGCAGGGAAGGAGCTTGGAAATCTCTAACATGGTGGTCCTAGAAGACGAGAGAGAAAGCTCACTGCCGCAAGAGTTCCATAAAGGTCATTGAGTTAACCGCCACTGAGTAGCTCGCCGGAGGTCGACGAAGGGGAAGAAGATGATCGTGGGATCAATCTGATCCGTCCATAAGCAGTTCCGCTGGACGGCCAGGATCGTCCTCAAGCTGAGTGCTTTGAATCTTGCACCCCAAAATTAATGAAGGGAAGAAGTGGGGATTTTCCGAGGGTGGAGGATTTAAAAACTCTCATAAAGCAATGCATTAAAGAACTACACGCGGAATCAGATGTGGAGGTCTCGAGGTTTAAGGGGAGGGAGACTCAACAAGGGGCCGGATTGGGTTCCAAGGAGGATGAGGAGATTCAGATTTGGACTCAGGTTCCGGATTCGGATCAAGCTAGATTTAAGTCCTTGTCTACCCTCTCTACTCAATTGGCGAAGAAACTTGAAGGTAAAAAGTTTTTTAGTGAGCCTCGGTGGCGCACTAGTAGACAAATAGGTTATAGTCCGGTTCGGTTGGAACCGACCTGGGTTAGTCTACCATCCAAACAGCAATTGAATCCAAGTGTTGGTTCTCCTCTAGCCCACATTCCTAGCCCTGATAATATGGTGATGGGTGATCTGAGTCAGGCTGCTACTTCATCTCAAAAAGTTTGGTCTTCTTCAAAAAGTGTGTGGGAGATGGACAACAAGCGGCAACAAAGTCAAGAGCTTCCTCTGGTGCCAATGGAAGAGACTCCATTGGTGGCGACCCCTATTGCGGTGGTGGGTAATGAGGTTCATAGTGGGAATGTGGGAAATTGTCTTGATCAATCCAAAGAGTTGGGAAATAGTGGTGTAAGCCCCAAGCAAATGAGGAGAAGCAACGGAGAAGTCTTGCTAGGAAACAAGGGGAAAGCGAGTTCATCAGCCGCGGAGGTAGGCAAGGACAGTAAGTCTGAAACTAATCAATCTTCTTGGGTGACATCGAAACTTCTGGGGCTGGGGACTTTCCTGGGAATTTCGATGGAAGTTGATACTATTAAGTTCTTGGAAGGAATTGAACAAAGAGTGCTTATGGAGAGGGGAAAATTGGCAACAAAAAAGGGGGGATTAAAAACAAAGAGAAGCAGAGAAATGATGAGATTAACTTGGGGTCTGAATGATAAGGCGGGTATGCAGTGAAGGGGCTGCAAGGGGG